CACACACACACGCCCCCGACGCGCACGCGCCCCCGCGCGCACTCACACTCACCCCCGCGCACACTCACGCCGCCGCCGCCGCCGCCGCCGCCGCGCTGATGTGCAGCGCACCAGGGCTGCACCTGCAGCCACAGAATTGGCCTGGAGGGTCGCAGCGCGGGGCTCCCGCCGCGGGCACCGCTGCCCAGCCTTTCCGCTAGAAGGAATTACCCCCCTCCAAAGATCAAAGGCAGCCCTACTCCCCTCCCCCTCCCCCGCAAATATCCTTTTGTTAAAAAAAAAAATTAAAAAAAAAAAAAAGCCCCATCCAAAATAGCAAATGCCCGGTGCTGCTGGATTGGAAAGCTGTGCCCATCACTAGGTTGGTTAACGGTGCCAAGGCTTCGAGCCTTTATCTGCCTCGTTCGCCCAAACCCTCAAAATTGAGACTCCAAAGCGAGCCTTTACGTACCGGTTCCGAGCGCCTCGGCGGTGACAGCCTCCGAAGAGGGGCGGCGGGTGTCGAGGGTTTTTGGGCTTTCCTTCTCTGCAAAGCAGGACGGCTGGATCGGTCTCCCCGGGCTGGGAAGTTCACTAGGACTCTTTGCAGAGAAGGGAACGGATTCGGACGCCGGCACCGCTGGCTGCCGGGGATGGAGAGGCAGCCTGACCCGTGGAGCGCTTCTCCATAGAGCCAAGCCCCGAGATTTCCTAGAGGTGAAGGAGCCCAAGGAAGTGGTGCTGGAGAGGGGGTGGGGGAGGACCTTCCTTTCTCAAAAAGGGGAGGGGGGGTGGAGAGGCAGGAGAGCCCAGATTCCAGTTGGTGATGATAGGAGCCGGGGGAGGGGAAGCGGGCGGGGGCAAGCCGAGCGCTTGGCGGCAGGGGAGGAAGAGCAGGGGAGGAGGGGGAGAGTAAGAAAAATGGGTGTTAATCACCGGCGACGCGGGGAGGGCGGGGACATCAAAGGTCCTGGTCTTGATTTGGGTCTCACACCCAGGAACGTGCCACACAGGCGCGCGCTCGCGCGTGCACACAACACACACACACACACATACACACACACACCCTACCTCTCACACTCAGGCTCAGGAGGAGAAACCCAAGAGGCAGGGTGTGTGTGCACGCGCGTTCTCTTGCTCTCCACGTCCCACCCCTCCCCATCCCCGAACCGAACCCCCTCCATCACCCCCTCACTCCTACTGCTAAGACTCTTGGCTGAGGCTGCTCCTCACGTCATGAGCTGGGGGGTGGGGGGGGAGTAGGGTAGCAAGGGGGTGGGAAAAGCTTAACCCGAGGCCGCGGCGCCTCCTCCTGGCCGCAGAGAGAAATAGCACCGAGGTGGGGCGGCTTAGGGGTGAGGGGAGCCAGGCAGTGGCCCCCTGAACCGTCGCGCAAAGCAGCTCAGAGGCTGAGCTGACATTGAACCCCCACCCTGGTTCCACTCAGCAACCTTTGCACTTTGCTGGGTACCTGCGTTTTGGGCGCAAAGCGCAACTTGAAGATGCTTGCCTTCAGGGAGCTTAAGATCTGTCTTCAACGCAGGAAGCTGATGGTAAAACAATAGGGAACCAGGTAAATGTAATTAAAAGCTGAATTGTGCAGCGCTCTCTCTCTCTCTCTCTCTCTCTCTGTGTGTGTGTGTGTGTGTGTGTGTGTGTGTGTGTGTGTGTGTGTGTGTGTCTGGATGCTAGGGACTTTGAGGTTATTTTTTAAGTGGATTACGTTATTTAAGGATCCTGAGAAAAGATGATAGACACACGATGGTTTCCCATCCGAAATGGTTTTACAGCACTGACAAACCCAGCCTTCTCTAGAAAGGAAAATCGCGTCCATTTCTCTCCCTCTAAGTTGCTTTATGTTTTGAAAGTCCTTGTGACCACTTGCAGTATTATCTGTTTTTCAATATTCATATCCTTGTAGATACATCCTTGTTATGCGCACCCATTGCCTCTTCAACGATCCAGCATATCACAGTGGTGGTGAACTTTTACAGCAGTGAGACCACGGGCTTCTCACTCACAGCCCTGGGAGGATGTGACCGGAACACACAGGGAACAGCCCTGTGCGAGGGGCAGCCGGACCTCCGGTCTGTGTGTAAATGTGCGCTGGCCTCCAGACCAGGCAGCCCTCGGAGCATCTAGGGATGGTTCTCACGGCGATGCCTGCCTGTTCCCTGGACTTCGTCAGGCTTAGTCTTGGAATCTAATGTTGTCAAGACACACGAATGAAAACACAAACACCGTGTGTTTGCCAGCAAAACCGCGCATCTCCCTGTGAAGGTTTGGATTTCTTCCTAGGACCACGTGGGGCTGATCCTCTACCGGGTTGGGAAGCTGTGGGATGTGGAGATTGCTCCACTGTGGGCACACAACAGCCCACCCAGCCCACCTGAGTGTTCACGTCTAGAGGCTGGAACAAAGGTCTCGATGCCCAGAGCCAGGGCACAGTGAACCCTTCCGGAAGCACTCGGCCCTGGGTCTCCCAGAAATGGTCATTTCCTTCAGAATGACATACACACCCACTTAGGCACTTGTGTGTGGATTGTTACCCTACTTTTCTAAATTTCCCATTCTTTCACTTTTCATCTCATTGACTATCTTTCCCTTTCAATCCTCTTTTCTAAAACTTGCGTACACTCTATTTTATTTTCCTGCCCAAACCCAACCCTTTCATTTCAGCCGGTCCACTTGTGTGAGTGGGACACACATCCTCTCTGCCCCTGCTATGGCCCACCCTCTCCCTTTGGGCTCTATCTTCAGGTCTGCTTCTTCTGAGCGTCCTTTTGCGTCATCCAGGCCTGAGCTGACTTCTGGGCCGATTTCAGGGATCTGAGAATGAGAGGTGGCATCAGGCCATCTTACTCCATGAGCCTAGCTGTTCCGTGTGGAAATGCAGAGCGCAGTTGACTCCACTGGGCAGCACAGTGACTGAGAGATAACTCTTGCATGTATGATCCCAGTGTGTAGCATGTCAATAATGCCAAGCTGGGTGAAGAACTGCCCAGCCAGAAAAAAAAAAAAAAAAGGCCCCGTAGCCATTTGTGTTGAGCCATACAGTACTATCGACAATTCAATCATGAAACTCTCAATCGCATGAAGTAACCATTATTGACCTATAATAAAAAGGCAATTTCATGAGACTCGATTGGGAATTGTATTCCTTGGTACGTTTCCAGTCTTCCCAACTAGTTCCTCAGTTCCTTTTATAAAATTAATCTCTCTGAGAATTTCTTACATGAGCACGCTGTACTTTGAAACATTTCCAGCTCTCCATGTTCATGGTTGTGTGGGCTTGGTGATCCTTAGGGGTTTGGGGGAGGTCACTTTCCTGCTTAGTTTTCCTGAGGATAGGACTATCCCATCCTAGGAACCACAAAGCTAAGTGAAAAGTGCTATCCTCTCTCCGAGGTGTTCATTCACCAAGGGTTTCCCTCTGACTTAGACTTCTTGGCACCCACTTTTGTTTCCTTCCTTCTCTTTGGGAAGTGAGTTGGACACAGGGCCCTGCACATGCTTAGCAAACGCTCCCATCACTGAGCCATATCCCAAGCCTCGTTTCTACTTTTTACTTTGAGCCAGACTCACCATATCACCCAGGCCACCCTTGAACTCCACAGGTAGCCCAGGAAAGCCTTGAGCTTAAGATCTCCTTACCTTGGCCTCCTGAAGCACTGGAATGACAAACCACCCAGCCAGGCTTCTCTCACCCATAGTTGGGCTTCTCACAAAAAAATCCACCATCTTCTCAAAAGGCCTACCATGGGGACCACCCGGACTGGCGAATTTGTAATGCCATTTCTCTGTTTTGCAGAGAAGACATTTGCTTGCTCCTGGTCAGACGGCACAGAAGGCAGTATCCAAACGAGACGAGATGGCAGGCTGCACTCCGCAGCATTGTTTATTGAGGAAAAGCTCTTGCCTCAGGCTGCTAAGGATATAGTTGAAAGTATTCTGCCAGTTGGCTGGACTCAGAGAGAGGGTCTGAGAGATGCTACAAACGCTCGTCACTAACTCAACGGGCAGACATAAAGCCCACACCTCGCAGGGCGGTATATATGTACACAACCATAGAGGTGTGGCGGTGCCTTTCAGATCAAACACTAGGAACGAAGGGTGGGCCTGGAGTTTATAGAGTTTAGAATGCCCACCTAAGTGAAAGATATTTCTGATGGCGTGAAAGTGAATACTTAAAAGGTGGAAACAAATCACAACAATTTAAAATTCTTTAATATTCATAAATGTTATGAAACAAAAAATTTAAATAACAATTCCTGTGAAAGAACTGCCTGGCACTTCTGCTATACTTGCTTTCGTGTTAAAATACATATCTTTCAGCTTCTCTTTACATAATGTTTTAAAGTAACGTGAAAGTAATCAAAGGACAAAAAGATCCACTCCCTTCTTCAGCGTGGCCAGTTGGCAGCTGTTTTTCACTTTTGAAATAATTCAGAACAATGGCTTTCTTATTGCTAGACATGAGATATGCTTTCTTCGGGAATTGTCAAGCTTGAGAAAAATCTTCCAAGTTCATTTTCCTATGGCTGTACTGTTATAAGAATTTCTATTTTCCTGAACTAACCTTAAATTATCCTAGAACTGATGACACTTGCTAGTTTCTAATGGGTTATATAGGTGTTACATGACCATCGCCGGCTTCAGTGTTTTGTCTCAGATGAGAGAGAAGTGAAACATTTTTTCCTGGGTGCCCGCATGAGTCACTCCCCCTCATTAATTAGATTATCAGATACTGCTGGAGCCTGCTCATTATTTCTATTGAAAGGTCTCTTTTCTTCTTAAGGAGCTAGAGTTCTATGTGATCCATGTTGGAGGAGGGTTGCAGTGGCTCCTCATTTCTGCTGATGTCAGTGTTTGGCTTCAGCTCTTTTATTTTCAATTTCACTAATTTCCATGTGAGTTTTCTCTTGGTTCTTTGATCAGTAAATAGAGCTAGTGGGAAGAGGAACTCTTTCAGTGCAACCCAAGCAACTGTCTTTGAGTCCTAACTTTTTTTTTTTATTATTAAAATGTCCCAAAGTGTGCTCACTAAAATTGGAACGATACAGAGAAGCCTAGCATGGGCCCTGAGCAAGGATGACACGCAAATTCATGAAACGTTCTATATTTTTAAACTGCAATTAATATAAAAAAAATGAAAATTTAATTAAAAAAAAAAAACGTCCCAAAGCATCTTTCCAAATTGAATCAAGCCTTAAATTCTCTCACAGAACCTTGTCAGCACTTCATTTGGACTTCTCCTCCGAGCCTGTAAATATGTGTGGAAACTTAGTGTTGCTGAGGCCATTTCCAAATGTCTGACCCCCTTTCAAGAGGGAAACACTGCAGGGGCGGTCCTTATGCTAAATTCTAACGTGTCGAGCATGTTTAAAGTAGATGATTTGGGGAATGAAGAGATGGCTCAGTGGTCAAGGGCTCTTCCTCCTCCTACAAAGGACCTGGGTTCTGTTTCTGGCACCCACACGGTGGCTCAAAAACACCTGTAACTCCAGTTCCAGGTAATCTGAGGCCCTCTTCTGGCTTGTGTGGGTGCTGCACACACATGGTACACGCATGCTCAAGCGGGCTCATGCATACAAACACTAAATAAATCCCATAAGGAAATAAACCTAAAGCAGGTACTTTCACAACCCAGGCATAGCCATTGTGGGGCATGCTTGCGCTCTCAGTGCTGAGTTGGAGGAACACGGGTAGAGCCCTAGAGATACATTGGCCACCCATCTTAGTTTAACTGGCAAGCCTCAGGTCCCAGTGAGAGAGAGAAAGAGAGAAGGAGAGAGAAGGCAGATGGCTCCTGAGGAACAAAACTGGAAGTTAACCTCTGTGAAAACCACACACACACACACACACACACACACACACACAGGAAGGAAGGAGGGAAGGAAGAAAGGAAGGAGCTCTCACAGTATTAGGGCCTCTCCATAGTCTTAAACAGTCCTTGGTTCTGAAGCTATCATTCACTTCAAAGTCAGCCCTACCTTTGCCCCTTAACCTAATAAACAGCGGGCTTCTTGTTTCTGAGGAAAACACTTGAACAACATTTTTTTTTTAATCTTTAAAAATGGAATTTGTTAAAGGCACAGTTTGCCGACACGCATAGGAAGTTCTTGTGGTAAATCTGACCCATCTTCCTGTGCTTGCTCCGGGAGAGCACAGGAACCCAGCAGAGCATTCGGTTTTAATACCTCTCAGGAGCGTAACTGAGCTCCTGCCTTCTTGTTGTTACTCTTTTCGAAGAATCTCTGTTTTGTTCTTTTCATAATGGTATTAACTATTCAACCCAGGCAAATTTTTCAGAAGGACAGTTAGACAGCTCTCACCCTTGTCTGAAAGCTTGCTTGTCCAGTAACCATGATGATTACTCACTTCCCACAGCCTTAAATGGAACCTTTTGTGAGCCTTGTTGTGACCTCTTGCTCCTTGAATGTTCCCTCTTCTCTGCAAACTTATACAAGAGAGCAGAGGTGAGGGAATGAACAAGACCAAGAGAGGAGAATCAAGTCCAGAAAGGAGGAAAATGCAATGTCACAGGAAAGGTCCTGGGGACCTCAGAAGGGGGGATTTGCACAAGGTAGCCTTTATGCACTAGCTCACCTCCTGCAGAAAAAAACAAAAACAAAAAACAAGCAAACAAAAAACCTCAGAATGGAAACAACCTGTAGTCAGAACAGCTGGAGTTGGCATTGCCTCACTAGTTTGGGTTGTTTTATTGTTTTGTTTACTGTTGATTTTCCCCCTTAACACAGCAAAGATGCAACACTATATCTGGTTCAACTAGACATTTTTGAAATTTTTTTCATGTGTATGGGTGTTTTATCTGGTAAGCATATATACCCTGTGTGGGTGCAGTTTCCGAGAAGGCCAGAAGGGGGCGTGGTTCCCCTGAAACTGGAGTTTCAGATAGTTGTGAGCTGCCATCTGGGTGCTGGGAATCAACCCAGGTCTTCAGAAAGAGTAGACAGCGCTTTCATCTGCCGAGCCATTTCCCCTACCCCTTGTTTGTTTGTTTGTTTGAAGAAATTCCTTAGAATCTTGATTTTTCATCTCTCTAAATATCTCTGTGTGTGTGTGCGTGTGTGTGTGTGATCAAAATACAAAAACAACCTCACTGTCACAATTACACAGAGAAGCTATTTACTATCAGATTATTCTAACTTCCTGGGATATGTGGCCTGTCTTTTTTCCTGTCACCAACATTATAGATGAAAGATGTCATCACTATCTGAAGGCACTGTGAAACATCTTAGCTGAAGCTGTCAGATAATGATGCAAACAATGAAATAAAATGGAGATGGACTAGACTCCTCCCTCCTCCCCAGCTCCCTTCACTCTCTGCACTCAGTTCCCTTCTCGACTTTATTTCAGGATTTTCTCTGTGGGCAGTATCAGTGACACCAAGATGTTTTTTCCATGAGATATTCATCTCCTCCAAATGGATCTTTACTCTCAAAGCAGCAGCTGGCACCATCCTCCAAGCAGACACCATCTCCTTCTCAAACCCTCTTTGGTAAGTCATCTCATGTCAGGAGTAGCTCTCTGTAATCCCAGCACTCGGGGATCTCTGTATGTTCAAGGCCAGCCTGGGTAGTCCAGGACAGCCAGGGCTACACAGAAAAACCCTGCCTCAAAGCAAAACAAAACAAAGGAACAAACAAACAAAAAGAGTAGCTTTCATCAGTGGTGATGGCTTCTCTCCTCTGTAAAAGGAACATGGCCCCTCAGCTCTTATCACCAGGCCCCACTCAGTCTCTATGGACAGCCAGGAGGACTCACGTGAAGCTCAATTAAAGGAAATATAAATCACACATGGGGAAAGGAGGCCTACGGGGAGACTGACAGACTGTGAGGAAGCATCGAGGGCCAGGAGAACATACCATTGATGAGGTCCTAGAGAATAGAGGTGAAATTGTGTGCAGAAAGCTGGACTTCATTAGTGCACACACTTACACACCAGGTGCCCTGGAAGAGTTCTGAGGTTTCCATCTGAAAGGGTGAAGGGCTATGTCCTCAATGCATGCAAGAAACTGAGACCTAGCTCTCTGAGAGGTGTGTGCTGTAAACCCTACAAGGGTCCCTGCAGCCTCTGAGCATCTCCGGCAGTGTCCAGATGAATAAGTGAAGGGCTGGCAAAAGGCGGGGAGAAGGACGTCCTTCTATGAAGGGGGCTTTCTATGACTGCTGCGGTATGCTGATCCTACACGAACGTCTCCAGGGGATTCCCTGGGATCTAGTCCTGATTCTCCAAGGATGTGCAGGCCTTCACAGTCTGATCCCAAGTTGGCTCCTCTCTGCCACACTTGAATTTTTCAATTTTGCATTTTTCAATTTTGTTTTAAAACTGGCCTTTTGAAATGGTAATATCAAAATTGTGTAAGTGAAGAGTCTAAAGTGATCAAAACCATTGGGCATCATTCTCCCATCCTCTTCACCACCCTGAGTTTTCCTCTCTTAAGGTCAGTTGCAGCTCTCTCTATCGGAATTTCTGGTAGATTCCCCAACAATGAAAAATGTCACACCCCATTACTTCCTAACTTCTCAGTTCATTTCATTATCTGACATCTACAGAAAGCACGGGTCTGCTTCGTGTCTCAGACAAACCCTCCAACGTATAGCAATTCCCCATCTAGATGTCCTCCAATACACATATATCATAATTATAATCAATATACAGTTTCTACCTATATATATAAATGTCCTTTATCACCTATATTGTTTGGTTATCTTGTTCCCTTAGTCCATTTCTATCGAGAATAGTTCCTCTCTGATTTACTCTTGGCATGACATTAACTTCTTTCTTCTCTGCTCTGCTCTGCTCCACTTTGCTTCATTGAGACAATCTCAATATATAGTCCAATCTGGCTTTGCACCTGCAATCCTGCCGCCTCGATCTTCAGAGTGCTGGGATTATTGGTATATGACAGAACACCTGGCCACATTGGCATGCTTTAATAATGTGGGTGGACACGTATTCCTTCCCTTTCTCATTGCTGTCACCAACCTGACAAGAAGTCTCTTGCAGAAGGAAAGGCTTGTTCTGGCTCATAGATGTAGGTATCATCCATCATGATGGAGTAGCCATAGTGACAAGAGACTGAGCCATCCACAGTCAGAGAGCAGAGACTGGTGGACACTGGTGCTCAGCTCCCTTTGCCCTTTTATTCAGCACAAGACCCATGGCCCATAGGATGGTGCTCCCCATTGAAGGTGGGTCTTCCCACCTCTGTCAACTCAATCTGGAAAATCCCTCCCAGACTTGCCCAGAGCTTTGTTTCCATGGTGATTTTAAATGCCACCAAGTTGACAAGATTGTACATCACAGCCAACATTATAGGTTATTTCACGTGGCAGACTTGCCTGATTTATTTTCTTCATGAATAGATTAGGGACAACTGTTTTTGGCAAGGTGCTATTGATAACCTCCCTGGTGCATCATTTCAGGGTCATACAAAGCTATTCCCATGACTGGGATGCTGATTTCAAACGGTGATTTGGAGATGATTGACAGGTGTTGAACTTATAAGGCTCATCTTCCCTTCATTAACAAGTCATCTATTGGGTGACAATTTGAGGCCATATTCCATGTTCCTGGTTGCCTAATAACTCGAGGAAAGTTTTATTAAGACATAAAACTTCAGACTGAATGTCTGTTGTTGGCAATGGTATTAGAGCAGCGGCTTTTAGCAATGAGGAAAATTTTACATACACAAGTGAATGTATACGCACAAGCAAAGACATTCCAGTGACAACAGGCACAAGTGCCTAGATCCCGGCTTCTAAACACCACTTCTTTTGGGTTTAGAGGATGCTTGGAGAAGTGACAAATTTCAGCCCAACAGTAAGCTGAAAAACAGATTGCCTTGTTTGGCTCAGGAACATTCTCTGACCCATGACAATGTGTCTAGTGTGGTTCATAGGCCAATTTGAGACTATTATAACACCCTTTTAAATGATCATATGATTGAAAAAGAATCTATCAGTCTATAAGGATATCTCCAAGGATGAGCAAAGGAAAGAAAACTTGTTCTGCACAAATCTTCCATTTACCATCTGATGAAGGAATGGCAGAATTAGAAAAGGACCATTTTACAACTCCCTGTGTAGTGGCTGACTG